AAGCTGTCTTGTCAGAAAGCTCTTGTTGGCGATTTCACAGTGTGTCTGTGAAAATGTGGTGCTTTGTATAAAGTCGTGTTTTAGATTTGGATTTGAACAGAAGTACGCTCGGCTCAAAGAGGCTTTGATTTCCAGAGCAGTGGAGTTCACTTTGAATCCACCACAGACCTTCAGGGCCTGGCTCTCTTCATCCTTACGCACACCTGCCCCACATTTCTCAGACTACTTTTCAAGTTTAAACCTATCAGCGTTTGGCTTTATTTGATCTTGGCTGAAACTGAATATACATTTTCAATAAGAGTCTTTTTCCTCAGTAGTATAACATTTATACTATGATTGCATTTTATAGGTAGAGGTGGGCTGATTAACGAAAAATACAGAATATTGTGAATGTTGTTTTGAAGATATGCAAAATTAGAAAATCAAGTGTCATATGTGGATACATTTAAAGTCATTTCACATTTGTCTGATACTTAAGCCTCGATTAATACATTTAAGGACATGTTTTAGCACATTGATAACAGATTGTCATCGAAAATTGTACTGAAATTGAAACTGTATTAAAATATTTAGTCCTATTTAATGTGTATTGTAACCCGAGAATTTCCATTAGAGTTGTCAAAACAAGTTCAGTTCAAATTCTGCAGAATTAGAATAGGTAGTACAATATTTATTATCCTCATCATGAAAAATGTATAATGTAGTCCCAGTATTTGATTAATATGACAGTAATTTATGGCAAGCAGTGACTATTGGCGCAGTGTTATTCCTATGGGGCTTGTGAAAATGCTGTCTCAGGATGGTGCTGCTTGGGTGCCCCTGTTTCTGCTGGTGGTTTGATGCCTACATGTGACCAGGCTCAGACTGTGCCAGACTCTAAAGCAGATTACTGTAGTTGTCTGTGCTGCTGGCAATCTGTCTAAAGGTTTCCGCTCACAAGACGAGGCTCAGCAAAGACTTAGATTTATGACCTGATCAATTTGCAAATGGCAACCACAGCAGCTGCGCCACACTTAGCCTCACTTACAGGACTAAATGATTTTCAAGACACACTGTAGGGCTGTATCTAATGATTATTTTAGCAGTTGATTAGTCAACTATAATTTTTTTTTCAATTTTTTTCCTGTTGTACATTCACATTTTTTATTACATTATCGACCATATTAAGATCAAAATATGGTTATTTAAGCGCACTATTGATGAAAAACAGAAATGGTATTTTCATATTGTTTTAGAATAACAATTATGATTCTCAAAATACGCCTATGCTCTGTCACAATTAGCTTATTAATTGTTGCAGCCATATTGAACTGTAGACACTTATCATCATTTAATTTCTGTGGTTAAAAATAAACCACTAGAGAAGATGCATGTGCTGTTTAATTACATGGAGATCATATTATACCAATCCAGAGCAAATAGCTTGTAATTAATTTCCATTGATCATATAATCATAATGAATTACTCTAAATTAAGTAATGAGGCGTCACGAGTCATTTGCTCTGGTGAAATTGGATTTGGCAAACAGACATTAAATTGTAGTCTGCTATTTTCAACTGGTTTTGCACTAGTGACAAAAGCAATCACAATAGATGTTTTAATGGAATGATGTAAGTTGAGGAAAAGTCATGATAATAGTTCAATGGGTTTGCTAATTTGTTAACCAAACTGTAAATATTTGGTTCACCTATTCTCTTCTGTAAAAATAATTCTCTTGTTGTGTACAGTGTCCCACCCACAGATGCAGTTGCCATAGAAATATTGTTTTACCTCTCAGGGGTCATAATGTTTTGGTTCTGTGTATAGCACTGATTGCAGGTTATGTAATGGAGTAAATATGTGCCAGAAACCAGGCAGGGCCAAATGCACTGAAACAAAAAATGTCACCAATGATTTGAAACTGTTTTATTGTCAAGGTGCTTTGAGAGCCTTGAAGGTGGAAAAGCACTATATAAAAATGCAACCATTTACCGTTTAGTTTGATAACTTCTGGGGTTGTCAAACTGAAACCCAAATGGCCTCTAGCTGATAATGAAGCTCATACTGAAACTAGATCTTGCAGCTTTCGAGACTTAAATATGACAGAATTGGATCTTTCCTGAATGGTTTTAGAATGGACCATAAGACCATATACTAACATTTTTAGGCTGAAAATGACACTAGACCTTGTATAAAAAGAGTATTTTTTTTATTATTTATGTGATATCAAAATTGATATCACATATGAAGCCTTTTCCTGAGTATAGAAATCAACTCTTGAATTTTCTGTATTGTAACAACACTAATAGCTTGTTAGCAGTATATTACATACAGCATGCTCCAGTCCAAGCTAATCAAGAATATACTGACAAAAGCCTCTATTTGATTTGTTGAACTTGTATTATGCTCCATCTGGACTCTTATATAAGTGTTAATTACGTGCACACAGTCCCTGCAGTGGTTTGTTCACACCTTTATTTCTCTACACTACTGAATATAACCGCACGTACAGTACAGTGCCGTCTACAGCATGTGCCAGTAGAGTCATCCCAACATTAAATAATCATGAATCTGAAGTTTCAAAGCAATGCATCCGCAGTTGTTGTTCAGTCCTGTTTTATCTCTGTTATGTCAGTAGGGTGCCTTTGAAAACTGTATGTCTCTTCTCTTTACAGTAATGATGAGCTGAAGGCAACAGGAAGTTTTAAATTGAGCTTTCTCTAAAATGGCAAAACTATAAATTATGAACTAATGCCCCCTCTGTAACATTAATGAGCCATTTATTTACCGCTTTTGATAGATCTGATATTTATTTTTTGCTGAGTTGTAAGTTATGTCATGCTTTTGTCCTTAGGCTGTGCTGTTAAAGTCCACAAACTGTAATCCAGCAATAATTAGAGTAAAATTGTCAATGCAAATCACAATGTGCCTTGTCATGAATAGAATTTGATTTACTGTAACGCCCTGAATTGGTCATTTACATTCCATCATTCACAAAGAAAAAAGACAATTATAGGCCATTTTGCCATTTTGCCAAATGAACATATATTTTCTTTGAAATGATATTGTTCTGGATGGAATTTCACATTTTCTTGCATTTATTAATTTATTCAATCTGCTTGTTTTCTTAAAAATGCCAAACAAAACAACAACATTTGCATGGAAACAAGAAGGTTGCTAGGCCTGTCTCCATAGTCCCCATAACAAATTTTAAAGCACAAGATATAGCTACAGAAAAATTTTGCGATAAACGATAATTTGAAACTACTTTAGGCCAGTAATCCCAGTAAACCGCTTAAAAAAAAAAAAAAAAAAAACATGAGCTACTACAACAAACAGCAGAATTATTCTACTCTCTACAGCTCAGATCTTACCTTTCTCACATAGAAATGGCAACAATCTTCCCACTTTTGCAAAGAAATTTTACTCACAATAAATACTGAGGCTCAAAATATAGTGTTCTAGCTTTCATATACTGTACAATAAGCTGATATAGTAATCATTGGTGACAGGCCTACAGGTGATAGACTCTTCACCAGGAAAGTTATACTATGCACTTTTTAAATATAATAATTCACACTCTTTTATATCCTCCCCTTGTGTGGCTTTTACATTTTGTGAGGTCCTAGTGTCTTCTCCCACCTGCTGTCTGCAAGTCCTCCAGTCTTCAATGTGTGTTGTCTCTCAAACCACATTCAGAGCCGCCATCTCTCTCTTTGCCTCTGCTGTTTCCCTGAGCCAGCCCAGATGTGTCACTCACCAATGCTTTCTGTATCTTCACCGCAGGCCACTGCTCAGCTCTGCAGATTGTACCATGTTTTTTTAAGGAGTAAACAGTGCCGCAAATAATCCGGCTTCCACTCCATAAATCAGCCTGAAAGCCATATCCACAGACTGTCTTCATCCTTTTGATACTTAACTTTAAAATATATTCACAGATTGTCGCCTGAAACTCTTGCTGGGGCAATGAATCAACTTGAAAAATGTGCCTTTTGTAATTAACGTTTCACTACGAGGCAAGATTTAAATTGAAGAGTAATGAGAAGAGACATTAAGATGACTAGTGATTTTCTCAGCAACCTCCCTCTGTTTCTAATGTTTTTGTTGGGATTGTAAAGACTGTTTACACGAGGAAGGAATGGCTCATAAGTATTGGAGCACATTGTGTTGAAGTGGTAATGGTCAAAATTAAACCCCACATTCAAAATGAAAATCCAAAAAATGCATTTGTTTGAAGAAATTGATCTGGGAGTGCTAAAACTGGATTTGATTAGATTGTACACTGTTTTCATATTCATACCTGTCAAAATAGTTAAAAATGGTACTGTCACATTTCTAGGGGAGGGTCCATCACCTGAGAGTTTCATTCACAGAAGGAATTCTTCAATTTTGAGCTTTTTAAACATCCTTTATGAATAAATGCTAGATGGATATATTTAATGTCATACAATGGAACATTCCAGGCAAAGCAATAACATCTCCATGGAGACAAGAAAAGTTGAGCAGTGCACCTTTAACTGAATTTAAAAGTTGATTTTCAGTACTCAGTTTTATGTTTAAAAGGAGCATTTAACTATTTTCAACATAAAGTAATAGTATATTTTATAATTTATACTATGTCTGATATATGAAGATCATTCTAGAAAACATTAAGGATAGGTTTAATGTTGTCCTATTTCTGTAATTTATTCATACATTCATTTGATACATATAATTCAAATAAGTATCTCGTTTTGAAATCGATTAGCATCTGTGTATAGATTTTTTTGACAATCCTATCTCATGTGCAGTGTAATCGAGTTGAGATATCGTGCAAATTGACAATAACATTGATAAAGTGGCTGTGACTTTTTCATACCCCCCAGTCTAAGGTTTGAAAGTCTATGAAGCGCTGTTGAATTGCTCATTAGTGAGGGAAGCACTTTGCCGATACAGACATTTTTCCTCAGGACATGGGTAATTAGTGAAGCCTTCTTACACAGATGCTGACTCTTTCTCCCCTTTCCTGTTGTTTTTTACAGTCAATAAGCACAAACCCTGGATCGAAACGACGTACCACGGGATCGTAACAGAGAATGATGACAAAGTGCTCCTGGACCCCCCTCTTATTGCTCTCGACAAGGATGCTCCACTCCGCTACGCAGGTGAGAGATGGTGGTCAAGGCAATTAAAGATGACCTGAAATGGTTCTGAGTTTTGACAGGTTAGAAGGTGACAATTCTTATAGAGGGTCGTTTTGATCTCATCTCAAAAACAGATAAATTGCGTAATGGGTACTAATTGGTAAAGGACTATTGAATACATAAGATCTCACCATCAGGCCAAGTGTTAAGAGTGCTTATTTTTATTAGCAATAAAATCTCCTTATATAATACATTCAAGTAAGATAGAAGCTTAATGCCATATTGTTAAATATTCCAGACAAGCAGGTGATTTTATGATTTGAATATAATCCCACACAGTCTATGGCTTTGGTCCTGTTTATTTCTCCTAACTGAAGTTGTGCTGATGACTATCTTCTGAGAATTGCTGCATTATAAAATCTTGAACTTTCACTCTTTTCACTCTTGGGCTACAATTGTGTTAATGAACCTCCAACACATTCCCCACATTCAATTTTTATTAGGATTTAGCTCTGATCTGAAATTCAGATCAAAATCTTGTTTCATCTGTGGGACTCCTAGTGGAGTGGCACAGTTAGTATGCTTTATGTACGAGGCAGTGCTAACTCTGTTAGCTCTGGGCAGCTTAAATCACTCCATTACAGTCACATGAGCCCTGTGATCTGGAAGTAGACCAAATATACATTTAGTTTTAGTTCATATGTATCTTATAGTTGTCCAAGCAGGATTTTGCAGAGGAGTGTTGCAAAGTATAGCTGTTGACAAATGACAAATCATGCCACTTTGAAAGCTGAGAAGTAATTGATAAAATCAATGTAGTGATTGGCCAGTCCTATTTAAAATATTTAAAATATTTAAAATATTGAGCTCCTTCCAATATGTAAAGTACCCCAATTTCTTAAATATATTGAATATATTGAGCAATGATTATGACTTCAGCCCTAAGAGTTTCAAAGTTGTCTTGTTTTCAAATGAGCTTCTTCTCAGTGTGATGTTTGCCACCTTCAGTCACTAGCGACAGCAGAGGGTGTGGAGGAGCTGTGGTGTAATTGGCCGTTGTCCCTGTGAGCTCTCAGTGTGAGGCTGATGGGCTTCATGTGGCAACAAGACTGACCCACTCCTCTGCCAGCCTCCTCCACACTGCAGTGCCTGTCTGTCTGTCTGTCTGTGTGTGTGAGTGTATGTGAGTGTATATGTGTGTGTGCGCAGCCACTCTTAAGGCCAAGAAATATCATAATACACTCTCAAGGTGAACCTGCAGTGGCCTCTCAGTCTGATGGACTGCTGTAGTTCATTTTGAGTCTACACTATAACACGATACAATAGACATATAACTGTGGTCTCATTTCATAAATAACGTTGAACATTTAAGGGACAAATCACTATATGGGTGTTCTTTGACGATATTAAAGATTAATTGGATGAGGACTCACGTCTTACAGTAATTTCCTTATTTTAGATGGCACATCTAGATGTAGAGGTCAATATAAGTTAAATACTTCTGTCAATTTAATTGAATTTCTGAGACCCGCAGAGTGTATGCATTTAATATATAGTAGCTCATTTTAGGTCAGCTCGTCTTAATAATTTTAGCGCACTTGCCATTCAACAAATCATTTCAGCAGCTGCCATTCAATCCCCCTCAGAATAACTCTGGCTATAATTGACTTATACATTTACCATCAGCTGCAGCCGAGACATCCTCGAAGCAGGTCAAGGCCAGGATCAATACAGTGCTTCAGTTCAGACGGGAGCAGAGAGGACAGTGGAGAGCTGAGGCCTCCTCATTAGAACACAAAGGCCCTTCACTCTGCTGCATGACTGCCCCAGAACAGCAGCAGTCTATGTGAAACTATTGGCCCTAGGTTTGTTAAGTTCCAATGACTTCTGCTACCAAATGGGAATTGGTACTTTTGGTTTGTAGCCAAGTCTTCAGTGCAAGGAATTATGTGTTTTTTTTTAACAATAACATTAAGCTTTTTATAATCTGTATGTCAAAGTAAAATGACATTCTATTCAAAATAACAAAAGAAAGTTGAAATGAACCATCATTCTGTTCATCTACTTTTGATTCTTATACAGTACTTTATATCATATATAGTCTATATTTTGTGCCTCTTGCTAGACAGTCCACTCTCAGATATGCAGAAATTTCAAACAAGTATTTCAGTATTTTGCATCATACATATTTTCTGTCAGATGGGAACTTTCTGAACATGCACCAAAAGCAACTGAGATGCAGAATTTTGAAACCTTGCATCAGCCCCCTGTGGTGCTCACCTGAATACTTAACCGCTCTTATCCTGTAGCTTGGATTTAAAAATAGAATGAATTTTAGATGGGATTTCATATGCGAGTGGTGTCAGGTGTAATTGGCTGTTTTGTCAGTTTCTGCCTTCTTAAAGCTGAGTCATTAATACAACAGACTGGTCTTGTCGGAGACTGTTTTACATTCTTGTCTATCAAATAGCGGTGGGTGATATTGTCAAAAATGAATATATCAACTTTTTTGTGCATTGTCAGAGCATATTTTAACAATGCATCAGGAATACTGTGCCTATAAAACATGAATGGACCGTGTAATTAATCACAAAAGGGCAGAAATATCTCTTTATACCCTGGAAGATAACACAATGTTTCTGTGTCTTTTCTCGATTATTTTTAATAATTTTCAATTAAATTATATGCAAAATAAGAATATTAAGTATATCTCCAAAACAGCAATTGTGATATAATCATTTTTTCGGACTTATCTCCCACCTATACTTTCAATACAAGAAAACTGTCTACTCCTTTTGTCCAGATTTCCATTACTCTTTTTCCTGTGTTGTCTGTGCCTCTCTTTCACTGGGTCTGTCTCTTCTCCTTCTTGTAGAGAGTTTTGAGGTGACCCTCACTGAAGAAGGTGATCTTTCCTCTGCCTTGTTGCTTAGTATTAACCCACTAACGCTAAACTACATCTGCACTTTGACACAGAAATCCTGCCATGCTCTTTTATTCTCCCCATTTTCAGTTGTTATACTTTTATTTGAATATTTTCGTTCATTATTCTGACTCTGGATATTTTAACTATTATTACAGCTGGATGAAAAGTGTGTTGTGGGGCTGGCTGCTCTTAGAAATATCTATGCATGAGACATCCATTGCAGTTTGCAGACCCTAACAGTGTTCAGCTGTCTACTAGAACAAAAAAAAACTGCTTACTTATGAACAGGAGTGCCAGCATTTTGTCCAAACCAAATTTCAACAGTATTTGTTCCATTTCTAATAAATAAACTGTACAAAATTGGTCTGAAATTATTGATCTCAGTCAGATACAATCACTCCTGTTAATATTGTGATCTAAAGCTGCTGAGATTGTTAACTAATGCAAACTCTCTCCGCTGCAAAGTTTTCTGTTTTTGCATCGTCGCCTCAGTGAACCTCTTGGGTTAATTTGCCGCCACTAATCTCACCATTATAGCATGGCTGCAGTTGTCATTTGATGTGGATGTCGAGCAAGTTGATATTTCTAACCCCAGTTCTCATCCAGTTTTTATTTTGTTTCTCAGTACTGTTGTGGGATCTTTTCTTTGGGGCTAATTTGCACAGGAAGACTTCATTTAGTTGAAAAGATGAGGTTAATTACAAGGTTTTCGGGTTGCTTTCTTTCAGACAGAATAGGTCTTGATGACTGAATTGGTGTGGGACCAACGTAACACAGTTTAATCAATTCAATTGTTTTGTTCACATTTTGTAATTAATGGGTTTCTCGTGACACTGCATTCATGTGGTCTACACGAGCTTGTGTTTGTGCCTCAAAACATACTAATTAGAAGTTACCTGATTGGAAAAGTTAACTTTTAAATACATAGAAGCCCAGAGGGTTAATTAAACATAGCAATTGTGTGTTTTTACAACTATACAAATACCTCATGAATGCAGTATGCAAGAGAGTACACTTAGAAAAAAAAAGAAAAATAACAATATTCTCTATGTACTTTCAGTATAATTTGAATTGACTTTGATCTGAAATACCCAGAGCTCTCCTGTGAAATGCCTGTCCACACCTTTTCGGTTTTGCCTGCATGATTGACTGGATGCAGTGTTTTCAGTGGCTTAGAAAATACACTATATTCTGTGATATTTACTTCCCACCCCACCTTGCCCCACTTACCCCTGCCTCCTCCTTTTTACTCACTCATTTGACAGTGCTCCTGGGCTGCCCTCCACCGACACTACCTCACCCCAAACTCCTCCTCCCTTAGCTCCTAAAACCTGTGGCTGTGTATTATTTTCTGTGAATTATCTAACTTAAATGTAAAATATGCCCCCCCAACTCCAGTTAATGGTAAATATTTTGGCTTGTTCAGGTGAGATTTGCGGATTCAGGATCCATGGCCAGAATGTCCCATTTGAGGCGGTGGTCCTGGACAAATCCACAGGCGAGGGGGTGATCCGCGCTAAAGACAAGCTGGACTGTGAGCTGCAGAAGGAGCACACGTTCACCATCCAGGCTTATGACTGTGGAGAGGGGCCTGATGGAGCCAACATGAAGAAGTCACACAAGTACGTTACATACTAGAGCCTTTAAATGAAGTCAGGCAGCTGAAAATGGCTTGAAATACATACGTAAATGCATGTAATGTAATATGCTTTTTATGCCTGGACTTTCTCTTTCTGAAATGGGATCAGAACTGTTATGTTAATATGCATATACTTTTTATTATATTGACTACCGTATTTTCTGGGCTATTAGATGCTCTGGAATGCGCACTGTCATTAAAAGGTCTATTTTTGAACTTTTTTCAAAAATAAACTGCACCGAACTTTAAACGAAACACAACAGTTAGATGGGTCAGTTGGACTTTGTTTGGCGCGTTCACGGTGACTCTGGGCTTTGTTCAATTGTGGCATGTAGGGACGGTGCTGTCTGGGACCTGCTGGATTGTTGGCGTGTTCGCAGTGACTCAGTTGTTCAGTTGTGTGTAGAAGTGGCACATTGCACTCTTTTTTTGGTTCGTTTCTCCGTTCCGTTCTTCCGTTCCATTCTTCCGTTCCGTTCCTCGTCCGTGTGGAGTGATGAGTGTGTCTGCGGGTGTGTTTCGCTTCGTGGTCGCTGTCTGCTCCGTGCATGTTTGCGTGCGGGTCATGCAGCTTTGTAATTTACTGAAGTCGTGCTGGGACTCCTGACTGGATTCGTGTATAGGGTGCTCTGGCTTGTGGGCCGCACGGTCGTTTTTTGATTGGGGTTAGAGGCTTAAGAGCGTGCCTAATAGCCCGGAAAATATGGTATATTTTCAAATAACAGTTATTCCCCAAATTAAAATAGGTACAGTAAATAGGTAACATTTTAACACACAGTAAAGCCTGGTAATAGGGTGAAAAAACATGCTAAAATTGTAATTATGGTAATTATTATGTACTCATGGGAACTGAACTCATCTGTACTTTATTTCATGCAAATTCAAATAACACAAAATCTATTAATATGCCAGCAGGGCTGTGATAAGTATAAGTACCATAATATCAAACTTTTCTGTTAACTTTTGAAAGCGATATTGTACTGGAAAAAAATACTCAGTCCAGTTGACAGAAGTCAACCTTCTTTTGCTATGCACCCTACCTGGACCAATAAGCAATTACACAGACACTGAACTAAAAAATTAAATTTTTCAACCAACAGAAGACACAATGTTGTTACACATATTTGATTTATTTTCTTTTTCCCTCCAGAGCCACTGTTCACATCCAGGTGAACGACATCAATGAATACTCCCCAGTGTTCAAGGAGAAATCATACAAAGCCACTGTCATCGAAGGCAAGAAGTATGATAGCATCCTGAAAGTGGAGGCAGTAGATGCAGACTGCTCCTTCCAGTTCAGTCAGATCTGCAGCTATGAGATTGTCACCCCCGACGTGCCCTTCTCCATCGACAAGGACGGTACGCGCTCTCCATCGTACTGTTTTTTTATTGACACACTTCTCATGTTTATTGATCTGAATAAACAACAGCCTTCACGAAATGCCCAATTGAAATTCAGTGCCTTGCCTTTTTGCCTTGAGGAGGGATAGCTGCGTTCTCCTTGAAGTGACAGAATGTAGGATACTTTTCCCCCCGTGTACTTCTGAAACTCAATAAGAGAGCCAATAAAAGTGTGTTATGAAAAGCAAGCGATTCAGAGGCAAAGAAGTCACGCAGTGATTTCAGAATATAGACTGGTGATAATGTCAGACTTGGTAGACTTAGAAATGTGAGATATTATAATTGTTATATCAAACTCCTGGTGTAATCACAGAAACATGTGCTGGAGGAAGCTGAGACTATATTCTTATGTGCATGTTAGAGGTGCACTATGTAACTTTTCTGGTGGAGGGCACACCAGCTACTTGTCTCCGTGGTGATTTATCTTAAATCTATCAAAAAATTACTTATAAGTAGTGAAATTATCTGACCTGGCAGCAAGATAATTTTACTTAACAAGTTATCTTAAAATAAACTACTTCTAGACTAGAGTTAAGCAGTCTCAGGACTAGTAAGTAGATAATAACCTGATATAAATTTTAAATATTTGCCAGATCAAAAATTTGCAGTGTATGTTTTACATGTATTTCTGTCTGTGGCGACTAACAGTTGACAGCCCCAAGCCAAGTTACTAGTTAGCAAATCTTTAGAGAGACTAACCTAATTGAATATAGGCAAAAGTTTGATGCAATGTGGAACATTCTAGGCAAAGCATTAACAACTCAAGTAGGCGATGGAACCTCTACCAGAAAAGTTACATAGTGCAACAATATTGTTAACTTTTAATTGATTATAAAGGAAAAAAAAACTTTCCTAGTCATCAAATTATTACATCATCATAAAAGCAAAAAAGATCAAGTTTAAAATGGACTAAAGGGCTTGGACCTGGCAGAGCTCTTAAATAAATTCAAAGGCACAGCGCTTTTAAACTCCACCTTATCTGAATTTGAATACATCTAGTAAATTAAACACAGTTCTTCTCCATGAATAATAAGTAATATACCCTTCTGTTTTCTCAGGTTTCATCAAGAACACAGAGAAGCTGAGTTATGGCAAAGAGCACATGTACAAACTGACAGTGACGGCCTACGACTGTGGGAAGAACAGAGCCTCTGAGGATGTCCTGGTCAAGATCAGCGTGAAGCCCACCTGCAAACCCAGCTGGCAAGGTACCAACTCCTCCTACTCCTATTATATTTACTGTGCACCCGTATTTCAGTGTAGAAGTAAAACAAGCTACTTACCACTGTGGTCACGATTCTAACATTTTGGATTACCGTTATAAGCAGACTACATACACATTGTCCTGTGTTTATTTTATAATCTAATGACAATGGGGGCTAAAACACCTCAAGCAATCATTATACAATACAGTACTGAGTGCCTCATTGACCAGTTCCCTTATACACTACTGAAGGTCATTTTCACTTGTTTTTCCTTACCCCTTTAGGTTTCAATAAGAGGATTGAATATGAGCCTGGCACTGGCAGCCTGGCCCTGTTTCCCAGTATGCACCTGGAGACCTGCGATGAGCCAATCACCTCCATCCGGGCCACCATCGAACTGGAAACAAACCACATAGGAAAAGGCTGTGACCGGGATACTTACTCTGAGAAGTCCCTGCACAAGCTCTGTGGTAAGTCATTGTTACTCACTGCTCTGTGTCACCTTTTGATGACGTTATACTTTACTACTGCAGCTTTGGGTCAATATTTGATTATGTAATCCAGTGAATAATTAATAAAGCATATTTTATACTGTATTAGTCTTCTAACATGAGTTTTGACCTTATGAGGTATGTGGAAAAAATGGTGCTACCCTTTCCATTCTTTGTAAATATGGTCCATGGAAATTTCTATTTCTTTTTTTTGTAATAAGAAATGCAATAGAGCTAGGGATTGTGTCAGAATTTTCAGTTAGTGAAAAACTAAGGGCGATTTTAGATGCTAAATACTAAACCTCCCATTTACTTGGTAACTGTTGCTTTTTGCCATTCTATCCTGAGCTCAATTGATAGTTACTGTAAAACAATGAAATGGCAGCTGTATCAGCTAGGAAAACTGCAAAGATTTTTCCCGACTTCCTAATATATACAAATTAATACAACTCCCCCATTGTGTGTGTGTTTTATTTTTAGGTGCTACCTCAGGCACTGTGGAACTGCTGCCTGCCCCCAGCAGCTCTGCCAACTGGACTGTCGGACTGCCCACTGACAACGGCCATGACAGCGATCAGGTGTTTGAGTTCAATGGGACTCAGGCCATCAAGGTCCCAGAGGGCTTGGTGAGCACCAGCCTCAAGGACCCCTTCACCATCTCTGTTTGGATGAGACATGGACCAGGGGCACACGAGAAGGAGACCATCCTCTGTAACTCGGACAAGACAGGTGAACACTGCAAGCATACACTGAAGATAATTTTGAATGATAAAGCTTTGACCTGGGAATTATTTTACATTAGTTAATGCTTAAACATATTTACATATTATTACAAAACATGGTGTATCAAATCTGTGTAAATAATAATGTAGTACTGTCTTCATAAAACAATTTCTACTAAAACAGGGCAATTTTTCCTCTAGTTAAATATGCTGGAGTTATTCTTGGTAACAAAAATGGAAAGAGTTGAGAGCAAATAGGAATTTTATAATATTATAGTAATGAATACATTGCTTTCTGGGTAATTTTAATTCACTTGTCACAAAAAACTATGTATGAACCATGTATACAAAATAATATTTATGTAACATTACAGAATTTGACAAACACTGTTGAAATTAGGACATGATCAGTGAATTCCAGCTGCTTTAGCAACATCCTGGTTTTAGCTTCTATTTTTGTCTCCAGTTGTAATTTTCACACTCCTTGATCTTGTTGACTGTAACGTCTCGGTTATATCCAGCAGAAAAAGGGGCGGGCTGATCATCAGCTTGTGTCCCTTTGCTTATATAAGAAGGATCAGTGCGTCACGGGTGGAACATAAGCTCCTCTGACCACTGTCTAAACTAGAATTATGACTGCTCTCACCTATAAAACGGAAATACAATTTGTTGTTTAAAAATTTAACTACCACTTTATATGTCATGGGTTGTTAATGAAATGTATTTGTGTTTATGTTTTTATTTGTTTGAGCAAGGTACATTACAAACATAAGTATAGGTATGTGTGGGACTATCTCTGGTGCTCAAAAGGAGTAGGCTGAAGTCTAAAAAACGTATCGTGTTTTACTCCAATTGTTTTACTTGAACACGTGGTTGACACATACATACAGAGGTATATACAAACACATATACACACACATATATACCTATACATACATACATACACAGTGTTGGGAAGGTTACTTTTAAAATGTATTCCCCTACAGATTACAGATTACACACCCCAAAATGTAGTTTGTAACGTAATCCATTAAATTACTTAAAATGAGTAACGTAATCTGATTACTTTGAATTACTTGATTTTGTCATGTTTTTTTAAACGACATGAATGTAGCAACCACATCCTGAAAATTCTTGTTTGTTCTCTTCAAATTGTCTGAGCCCAAGTCTCCATGAATAAGCAACTGTTTGCTGTAGAGAAACAAAGACCACGAGATCTTAATATAAGAGGTTTTGTCTGTTAAAAGACAGTAACAAGATAAGCTTTTCCTTCACCATATTAAAAAATATTATTGATAGAGAAATAATTTTTTATATGAGATCACCTTAAATTATTTCAACCTACTGTTAGGTGTCATGTTGTTTAGACCTGGTTTTAGTCCTGGTTTAATCCTGGTTTTAGTCCTGGTTTAGTCATGAATTTAGACCTGGTTTACTCCTGATTTTAGACCTGGTTTAGACCAGGTCTAGACCAGGTCTTGACCAGGTCTTTAGTTCTGGTTTAGTCGTGGTTTAGTCCTGGTTTTAGACCTGGTTCAGTCCTGCTTTAGTCCTAGTTTAGTCCTGGTTTAGTCCTGGGTTAGTCCTCGTTTAGTCCTGGTGTTAGTTCTGGTTTAGAGGCGCACAGGAGGAAGCGCGGTTTACGCAAGAAAACACAGTCCACACACGGCGCACGAGACGGCGGTGTCCGCGCTGTAACTACGGAAGGAGACGTGGTCCGCGCGTTCTCAGGTTGATGATGATGATGAAGGTGTGTGTTTGTGTGCGCGTCCACTCATGTGGCAGGTCACTATAGGACAGTAGTGCAGATATTATGAGTCTATGCAGGTTGTTTTCACCAGTGCCAGTAGCTCCTGTTTCACATTTAAGTTGTAGGTGATTTTATATTTGTTTTTTTTATATATATATATATCTCACATCGGGAGAAGAATTTCCAAGACACAAATGCGTTTTTACCAATGCACTGCTGCTTCCATTGTGTGACTGACACCGCCAACTTTAACATGACGTTTCCATCGCTCTTACTGTCGCGTTCTGTTTGGGTTTCTGGCAATGAGTGGAATTACCGAAATAAAAAAAATAAATAAATGGGATGTAGCACAAAATGTGAAAACAGGAAAATACCACTTTGTAATCCACTTATTTCAACAAAGTAACTGTAATCCAATTACCACTCATTGAAACAGTAACTGTAACGGAATACAGTTACTCATAATTTGTACTCTGATTACGTAACGGCGGTACATGTAATCCGTTACTCCCCAACACTGTACATACATATGCATAAACACATATATACATACATGCACAAATATATTTTCGTTAATAATAATGATAAAGAATCATATGGAAATAATGGAGGGCACAACTCTAAGCTGCCAAACAGAGTTGTGTCTGAGTTCTTATGTTTCTTTTGTTGGTAAACCATTTAAATAGAGGAATCTTGTTTTATTTGTCCTCCATAGAGATGAACAGACACCACTACTCCCTGTATGTCCACAACTGCAGACTGATCCTGCTGCTGCGTCAGGACCCCTCTGAGGCCGAGAACTACAAACCAGCAGAGTTCCACTGGAAACTGGACCAGGTCAGACACTAGTAATATATCATCATTATATATGGCGATAATGTGAAAAAATAAATCCAAAGAAACCTAAACACTAAACACCAATAAGATGAGAGGAGTGAGACAAGAACAACTACAAAGAAAACAACTACAAATATTATGAATTAAGCAGCGTTTGTTGGGTATATCGTCAATTATATCATGATTTACTATATAATCTTTTATATGGTGATAACAATATTTTGATATATTTGGCTGTATTGCTCTATCCTAATCGCTCATACGGCAACGGAATTATTAAGTGTACTGCCACAATAGCTACTTCTTCTCCTCCTATTGTTCAGACCTTGTAATTTCTGTGCACTTACACTTCTTTCTGTTGTCTCTGTAGGTGTGTGATAAAGAGTGGCATCACTATGTGCTGAATGTGGAGTTCCCCACAGTGTCTTTGTTTGTGGATGGAAACACGTTTGAGCCCTTCCTGGTCACAGAGGACTACCCACTGCACGCCTCTAAGATTGAAACTCAGCTCACTATCGGAGCCTGCTGGCAAGGTACTTCATACTTCATTCATCTGAAGCTTTATTTAACAGTAAGACAATCTGCTTCCTCTAGGTACTGGATAATCTTGAGAATTACATTTTAAGTGTCTGTGTATGTGAGACTGGAAAATAACTGGTATCTAATCTGCATTCTTGCTCTGGATTGTGGCTGGTTTGAGTTCAGTTAAATCTTGATGTAGACCTAGTTTGGTCCTGTCCTGTCCTAGTCCAGGTTTAGTTCCCAGTTACATGCCAATTATAATCTAAGACTCTGCAAGTATGAACGCATCCTTAAAATCTATTTCAGAATTGTTTGTTTAAATAGTTATGGTCTTTATCTTGAGTTGAGTCTTTAAGTTCTCTATCTTCAAAATAGGAACCCACTGTGCCTTTTTTCAGTATAGGCAAAGCATTTGGTAGAAATTATGATATGTATGTATGCATGCTTCTTATTGATCATATACCTTTAATTGCATTTTGACGTGCTATGTTTTATATTCACTGGTTCAACTCTTTAGTTTCAAGCTAATTTAACACTGACTACTCTTAATTAATTGTTATAAAATGAAACTCTAATTTATGCCGCCTATGTAAAAGTATGGAATCATTTGTCTGATGTATTCTGCTACAGTTCTTTGGCTTAGTGCCTTCGTGCAAAGTGTGCTTGTTTCTTGACCTGGTTTTAGCCTCTCCTGCAGATCCTCACCCCTCCTTTCTCTCCTTTCTCTTTCCTCGTCTGTCTCTGTCCTCTGCAGAAATCTCAGGACATGACAATGACACTGAAACTCCCTCTGAGCCCGCCTCAGGTTGCCTCCCTTACTACTGTGTCCCATGTGTCACAATGTCCCCCCATCCTATTTGCATCATTAGAACTCCACCAACTCCCATTTCATTTTTGACACAGAAATGCGTTCTATTTTTAGCATGACACCATTGCTAATATGCTAGCTCATATAGGTCTGCTTTTGTCTTCATCATCCCATAATATTGTTTAGTTTTCCATTGCATTACTTTTTAAAAAACTGAAGTACCACAGATGAGAAATAGATACTCCACGCCTGCCTGTGGTATTTTGCAATGCTGGCTTTTCTTTCGACCTTGGGGTCAATAGCTTCATCATATCCGATAACAAAGAATACACCATACATGGATGGCTGCGACCTTGAAATGTGTACACCTCAGTCTGGCCTCATTGCAGTGGTGCAGTTTGTGCCTATTATTATTACAGAGACACATCAAACTGTTTTTTTCAGCTTGCAGATGTTGTGTGACTTTAAGGCTGCATGCTAAATAAATGTATTTTTAGTACTCTGCATGAATATATTCTTGTGAAAATCAGGTATCTCGTATTAATTTGTTCCCTTGAATGCTTTTGTTTTTGTATTAAATATAAACCATGTAACTATTCCAGACCCAGGTCTCTATGGAGATGTTATTGCTTTGCCTGGTATGATTCACATTTTGCCTTTAAAGGCATCTTGCATTTAATCAATTAATGGGAGTACTTAGCTGGGCCCTGTGATCTCTTCAGGCAAAGCAATAACATCTTCATTGAAGCAAGTTAGTGGTGGACCCTCAAAGTTGCATAATGCAGCTTTAAGTCCATACACCAGCCATTTTGAACCAGACAGAGCATGTGCTTACAGTCATACAGTCATTTTGTCTTGTTTGTGCTTTGAATCCATTTTGACACAATCATTAACATGCATGATTCAAGGCAGTTTTGCACATTGCGACAGCATGTTTCTCTGCCCTAGAAAAACTTCTTTGGGAGTATTTTTATTAACTACTGCTTTTATTTTTTCTACAATAAATCCAGGTGGAAATGCTCGCATGGCCCAGTTTTTCAGAGGGAACTTGGCAGGACTCATGATCCGCTCCGGAAAACTGGAGAACAAGAAGGTCATCGACTGTCTATACACCTGCAAGGAGGGTCTGGATGTGCAGCTGCCTGAGGAGGTAGCTTCTGCTGTCAAGGTGAGGGCTGCTATTGGACATCGAGTAGTTGTCAAAATATGAATCTGGGGGCACAGAGAAACTTAACATATGGCAGTATCTTGAGTTATTAGCTACTTGTCACAGTGAAATGCCACTATGAACAGGCAGGGCTTGTTAGTTCTGCAGTTTTGAACATGAAGTCGATGTGTTTCTATTATTGAGCTGTTTTAGAAGAATGTTATGGTTTACAATGGGCAAAATGTAACATAAAGGTCTATGTATATTATAGTTTAATACTACGTAGCCATAATATGTCTTCTTCTATATATCTTGGCTCTTGACATGAAGCAAAATATACTTCTGTCAACACAAATGAAATTAGGGGAGGATGTCAAAAATGATAAATTGCCCATAGTGCTATAGGCCACTGCCTCCATTTCAGCTTATGACAGGACACCACCTTTTTATTATCTAAATACTTAATATTGTATCTGTATTCCAGGTGGACTTTAATCCAAACCAGTCTTCTCTGAGTGTGGAGGGCGATGACATTGATGCCTTTGACAAAGTGATGCAGCACATCTCCTATCTGAACTCCCGCCAGTTCCCCACCCCTGGCATCAGGCACCTACGCATCTCTACCACTGTCAAGTAAGTTTCAAATGTACTAATATTGCTTTTCATTAGCTCCATATTAAGACTGGATGAGTATAACTTTTATTTTTCCTTAAAATGATAAAGAAATTAAGCATATGTCATAGACTTACCTAATTTCCATAACAGAGAGAATAAACATGTGTGTAACTGCTGGGAGCCATAGATGCAGGGAACATTTTGTTGTTTAATTCTCTCTGATGTATTTTTGTAAGAAAGCACCTGCATATTTTTAACTGTAAGGAATTGTGCATTAACTTTAACTTTAGTGTGTCTTTGGATTTGTAATGCATTAAACTTACACAGATATTCATTTTAAAGTTATCTGAAATGATTTAGTTCAAAACAGTTATAATTATTACATTTTATGGCTAGTTTAAATTATGCACAAAATTACCAAAGCAAAATCTTGAAAATGTTATGATTCTGATTCATAAATATCAAAAGTCAACCAAGATGGGTCAAAATAAATACTTTGTTTGTCTGTCAGAAGAATTATTTAGAGTTAAAAGAAGACAGTCTCTTTGAAGTACAAGATGGGGTCAATATTGTATACATATATTAACACATATTTCTTATATCTTTGCAGGTGTTTCAATGAGGAGACATGTGTGACTGTGCCAGACGCTGAGGGCTATGTGATGGTGCTGCAGCCAGAGGAGCCAAAGATCAGCCTGAGCGGTATTGACCACTTTGCCCGGAGCTCGGCCGAGTTCGAGAGCTCCGAGGGGGTCACCCTGTTTCCCGAGCTGCGTATCGTCAGCACCATCACCAGGGAAGTGGAGGCTGACCCAGAGACGGAGGTAACCGAGGGCAACGACGATGACCCCACTGGTAAGTGACCTCAGAGTGGTGATATGCAAAAATTATAATTATAAATAATAGCGTATTTTATTGAGGATGTACTGTATATTTGAACTGATTTGACTGCTTAATTAAACTTATGACAATATTCACATCTTCTGGTTATAGAATAGTCATGATACTAAAATTTTTGACTTGTCTTGAACTTGATTTTGCTACTAAGAAAAAGGCTTGATACTCGATATTGAGTAATACATTGATAATGAAGAATACTATTTTCATATAATATAATGTAACTTTTAGCACAAAATAATAGTTTATTTAACTTAAAGATGTGGTCTTATACTAGTTATGATATAAAACAAGACTTTTCTCTTCAGGGAAGGTTATCTGAGTATTGATCACTTTGACCACCCAGTCTGGTTTCAGAGAAAGTTCAGTATGTTGTGTTTTTAAATCTGCCTTTTAGCCACAATATAATAAATAAAGTACAGTCTAGATCTTGTTTCTTAATAATTATGCTGCATATAGTGTTATCTGCCAATTTAGTAATTCCCAACTAGGAAATGTTGCGGAATTTAATTGTTTGTTAAAGTGCAAAAGAATATTTTGCATGTAGTGAAAAAACATACATAATGCAGGGTGTTTTACATTTCAGAACACATTGACATGGACATGCATGGAGCTTCAGTATTCGGCATATGCTATAATAGTATATATAGTAATATATACCCAGGGCTTTGTGAAAAAAGGATGTTGCTTTAGTCACAAAAGGGCATTAAAGGTACAGTACAGAACAGATGATAGCTGTGTATATTTGCTTACAGTAGGCTGGCATTTAAGGATTAAGCCTATGGGAATAAATGGGATGAAGAGAAGGGCTGTTTACTACTGCTAGGGCGGGGTTATTGCACCATCTGCTAGACCTGTGTAAGTACTGAGGGCAGAGGAGACAATAGACATACACCAGAGACTGACACAGATACAGCCAGATTCAATGTCCTGTGGAGAACGGCAAGCCATAAGGGACAAAAGGGATTACAGTGATCTCTTACCTGTATTAACCCTCCCTTCTTTTATATAGGGAACAAAGGGGAATGTCATAGGAGATTAGTATGAATCACAAACAATTACATTTATCAAAGCTGGACAAGTTGAAGCTTGTTTTGTAATTTACTGTTCATTTTTTGTCATTAGTAAAGTTAGTATTTTTTTACTATAGCTCTAGATGTATCCTGAGCATTTTGGTCAATAATGAATTTAGTCACTTATGCACACTCTTACAGATGGATTGTTAATCCGAGAGGATGTGCAAAATAGAATTATATCCATTTTTACTACGTATAACATATCAGGTTGATGCTGTATATTTGCACAACTCACTCAAATTAGATCTACAACAAAAAAGAAAAGGAAAAAAGTTTGTGTTGTAATATTTCTGAATGTTTTTGTATTCCAGTTCAGGAGACCGTGGTGTCCGAGGAGATCATGCACAACCTGGACACATGTGAGGTGACTGTGATCGGGGATGAACTGGATGGAGAGCATGAGAGTCTGGAGCTGGACGTGTCTCAACTGCAGCAGCGCAGCCTCGAGATGAGCTCCTCTAATCTGGGCCTGGTCATCACAGGTGCACACCACACTGCAGGGCAAACGGGCTGTGGGCTGTATGTGGAATAGTTATGCAAACACGCAAGTTCTATTTGTAGTATGTATGCAAAATCAGGAGGGTTATGGATGCTAGGTCAGAGAGTATTGTTATCCCATTATGATGTATGTTAATTGTTATTATTGAGTGGCCAAATTTGATTGATTCTAAGACAAAAACAATGTGATCACGTGATCAGAAACACAAAAAATAATCCTTGTTTTTCAATATTAGCACTTCAACTATTTTGAGGAATAAATACATGTGTACATATAAGAGTTATGGGCATATGCTAGGTTAGAGAATTGGCTTGATCTACTGTTTTTCAATCATCTTTATTTGTACATAAATTAAAATTAAAATTAAAAATATCATTAGCCTTAGGACATGTTAATTACAAACTCCAGTAAATCCTCAAATTAATACATGTTTAAAGGCACCAGTTAACACTTAAATCACACTTGAGTTCAGTCTTGAGAAATATATAAATTCATAAACCTTCATGTTGGAAAATTGTACCAACCATTTTTGTACATACAGTAATTATACCTGATTGAAGGACTGTAAAATATTGCATGTTGCATAACAAAATCTTTTTCTGTTAAGGTGTGAACACCATGTCGAACTACGAGCAGGTCCTGCACTTGATTCGCTACAAGAACTGGCACACCGAGGCGCTTTTTGACAGGAAGTTCAAACTGGTGTGCTCCGAGCTCAACGGCCGCTACATCAGCAATGACTTCAAAGTTGAGGTATGACCATCTTTACCCCTGTAACAGTACAGTTTTTAATTAGACAATTTAGACAAAAAAAAAAACTAAATAAAAAAATCCCCAACCAACTGAGTGAATAAAGTAAACACATTCAAAAATATGAGGATTTAAATAGGCCTGTTAGAAAAAAAAAATTAATCTTTAACAAAAATTTCAAGATATAACTAAAAATATATGGCTATAAAAACTACAATATATACAATAAGTGACTGTGAATAAGTGCTACTGTATGTAGTACAGTACTGTATGTATGTAAAAAACAATAAATACCAGATAAGGTGTCTATAGTGATCTCAATGGGTTTTTTTTAGGTGAATGTCATCCACACAGCCAGTCCTGTGGAGCATGCTAACAACGCCATGATGCAGGCCAGCTTCATCAACCCAGTTCACCACGCCTCTGTGGACCTGTCTGGACACAACCTGGTCAACGCACACCAGGCCTCAGGTAATGAAGCAGCACAGCTACTTCAGGCTGTAAATGTAGGACCAGGTTTAAGTAGTTTTGGAGTCTTTATATGTAAATTGTATGTATATGAATGCATGTGCAAGTGAGTGGTTTTGGATGTCTGAGTTTCAGGCTTTTGTCTAGTTTCATGTTTGTAGTGTAACCACATTAGTGTTAATATGTTTATTTAATTATGAAACTACTATTTGCTCCAACAGTAAGTGGTAATAATACAGCAAATCTCTTAGTTATAATAAGTACAAAGAACAAGTGATTTCTTATACAGCATATACAGCATCAACATGTAATCTCCTTATTTGTCAGATAAGAAGTACTTGGCCTTCTATCATTACCACTGCTGTGGATTACTGCCCATAAAGCAGAAGTAGGGCACGTATAATAGACCAGTTGTTTTGTAGATTTTTAACAGGACAAGTTTCAGGATTATAGTTGAGTGCTTTCTCCGTGGGACATCTGTTTAGGGCGCTCTGTGTGCACAACCTTTTTGTTCCCTGATTCAGTAATCTGCCTTTCAACACATTCAAGACAGGTTCTTCTGCAAATGTGGTACAAAGCAGTCGAGAAGGGATATTTCAGCTGTTATTATAAGAAACTAAAACTTTTATTTAGATCAAGCAACCATATATCTACAAAAGTGCCACTGATCATGATGACTTTGCAGACTTTATTATTTTTTTTTATTTTATTTCAGTGATGTAACATGGTAACTTGGACATAGGAGAAGGGTGATTTCTACCCCAGTAGCACAATATTGACAATTTATTATTAGAGTACTCTCACCAACTCATGTGAGGCTTATATTGCCTGATTGTATAATTAGAATGACAACATAAACAATGTTGTTTTTACAATGAAGACAAAACCAATATTACAATAGTTGTCATTAAAAGCCCCTTAAAATAAGTCATGTTAATGAAATAAAAAATATAAAATTCTACTTGCCCTCCCCTTTTTAAAGTAATAATTGATTCCTATACTTCAGAGTTGATTTAGTCCAAGTAGCCTTTATTTGAGTAAATATTTAGGGTTGAATGTCTTGCATTAAAAAATATGTCTATTCAATCCCAGTATCTATCTCCATCTCAGTTGTATCTGAGGTAAAAAAGGAGTTCACATTTTTGTATGGATTTTTTACAATTTAAATCCTATTGAGATATAATTTGAGGGTTGTCTTTAGTGACTTATGTTTATATCCAGATGTTTTGCTTCACAACATAAAAGGTAGCATCAAAAAAGAGAAAAAAGATATCAAAAACACTTGCTGTTATTTTAATAGGCTTATAAGGGGAATGTCAGTGTGTCCTTGACAATAGCCTTATTTTAGCTTTAATTGCCTATCTATGTATTTTCCAGTGGTTCCCAGTGCTGCCACCATTGTGATTGTGGTGTGTGTCAGCTTCCTGGTGTTCATGATAATCCTGGGCGTGTTCAGGATCCGCGCGGCCCACCAGCGCACCATGAGGGACCAGGAGAATGGAAAAGAGAACGAGATGGACTGGGACGACTCTGCGCTCACCATCACTGTCAACCCCATGGAGGTAATGCTTTATTCACAAAATATACTTGAGGTGAAACTGAGAAAATGTGTTAAGTTAAGCTGTTTTTGACATTTAAGTTTGTGGGTGTGGGTTTGAGATGTGTTCTCATGTTTAAAGTGTCAGTGAGGGGATGTAACTATTGTTTAGTTTTATTGTTTAGTTAGTTTAGTTTAGTTAGATTAGTTTGGCCTGTTCTGTGGAAAGAAAAGTAAATTTTTGGCAGGCTTGTGAAAGAAATGCCCTCTTAATGGGCATTTGATCTTAATATTTCATACCTATTATAAAAAAATGTTAAATTGAGAATGTGACAAATGGGATAGTTTTGTGAGTCATTAGTAGTAAAATATATTGCAGTGAATTAAAATAGTAATCCTAAATATACTATTACTAAACATGTACTGTTACTGTGGAATGTATGTTGATGCTAATTATCATGGTATCAATGTATTTCGTGCCTAAACTACGGGAAAAATCTACTGGTACTATAACAGATACTTGCTGGTTTGTGTAAACATGACCAAATGTCATAACCTGGCTCACATCAGGTTGATATGTGTACGACTCTGAATTGAGTTCTACACATTATCATTCTGGGATGGCACTTGCTGAAAGCGTTTAGAAAATGCAGAATGTGACGGCAATTATTTGCATCTGACTGGTCGAAGAGTCACAATAGCAGAACAAACTGGACAATCAAGCCAGTTGAGAGAAAAACACAAACATATTCTCTATCCACAAATGCACAAAGCTCTTACCTTCTGCACATTTTTCACAAACCGAATAGTCCGTATTGACGCTAAAAGAGGCTGAATTATGTCTTTTGGTGTCACCATGTTTGTTTTAGTTTTTGGATTTGGATTTTGGATGAGAATCCATCTTGCTGTGCCAGGTTACAAATGTCAGTAAGATCTATCAGAATCCAGTCCCTGTGTAAATGTATTGGGTGATGCTATCTTAATTAGATGCAACCTTTGTTTTGCCCATGACACAGTTAAAACACTTGTTTTTGAAGATGGTGTTTGGACCAGGAGAGGCTATTTTAAGTGTGATGATGACATCATAACGCGTTGTCTCCCACAGACGTATGAGGACCAGCACAGCAGTGAGGAGGAGGAGGAAGAGGAGGAGGAGAGCGAGGAAGGCGAGGAGGAAGATGACATCACAAGTGCCGAGTCGGACAGCAGCGAAGAGGATGAGGGCCCAGAACCAGAGGACCAGCCCGGAGCCAGCAGACAGCAGCAGCTGGAGTGGGACGACTCCACTCTCACATACTAAATGCACCAGAGCTCCTTCCACAACACACATGTCCACCACCATCACACGTCTATGAGGAGCCCTCATGTAAAAATACAAGTCATACATTTACTTCAGCGTATATAAATACATATATATATGGTCAAGATTTTCCTGTTGTTCTTAGTGGTGGTACTCAGTGTAGTGTAGTCATCACCGGATTGCTGAATTTTACAATTTTTTTTATTTATTATGTTTGAATTCCCAGGAAAACTTGGCCTACATTTGTTTTGAACTGTTTGCGGAAGCCAACCCTGCACTTTTATTTTCATTTCTTAATTTGAACGGCTTTCAAACCGAGTCCCAATGTACAATATTCCTTATTGCTTTATGTTTTAGATAAGTTTGCAGCAAAATCACAGCTTGAGTTATAGTTGACAGTGAATAAGCTTTGAATCAGTAACCAGCTTTTTCCCTTCTGTTTTTTTTAGTGCATGACTGAATTTGAGACATCACATTTAGAGAAATGCTTTTTAACATTTTTTGTAAATATAAAGAAACCATGTAATTAGTCAGTGTCTTAGTGATGGCCTTTCTCCATTGGGTCCAATATATAATGCAAAGTTGTGTCCAATACTTGTGTTACAAAGAAGCTGTAGCATGTGGCTAAATTACTGCAAAAAGCTGTCTAGTCATGCTTATGCAGGAGGTTTCCATGACAAAGAGCTTTGTCTTCTTTCCTAAAGTTTCAGCTCTTGCTTAAATTGCACAGTAGCAGTTCTCTATTTCCCTTCCCCAAATATTTTGATGTTGTATAAAGGGTTGTGGATATTTGGTGAAATGCTTGCATTCAAAGCTATATGTTTTGGGAAGTGCAAACTTGAGTTCAGTTACAGTGCATATGCACATTTGTCAGCAGATATTATCTTATCTTAACTGTCTGAAGGAGACAGAAAATCTTCAAGCTTCTACAGTTGCAGTCTTTGTGGAGCCTTGAAGATTTTAAGAACATTTATGTTAAATGGATTCTGAATTGGTTTGTTGACAGTTTATGTACATTTTAGAGTTGATTGAATTTTTTTGTTTATATTTGGTAAACTGCTTTTGGTGTGGCGCAATTCATTTGGAAAAATTATATCAAACACTGCTTCTACTAAAACTGCAAAACTCATTGTAAATAGTTTTCACCTCAACACACATTCATGTTTGTCAAGGTACGGCGTAAAATGTGTTTTAATTTGGGCTAAGAAGAATGTTATTCAAATTTGTCAGTTGTATGTTACAATAATCAATGCTTGTATGTTTGCAAATTTTAGTAGCACAATTGTAATTTAGATTAATTTATGATTTTATTATTTGTGTTGGTGAACAGTCTCCCTTCATGATGACCTGCACATGTTTAGGTCTGAACTTGTCAAGATGGGAATGCCTTTTTACCAATCATATTAATTAATATACATTTTTTATCCATTTCTTACAAAGCTGGGGATTACACTAATTTCATAAAGCATTGATAGTTTGTGTTTCACATAGCTGTTCGTGTCCATGTTGATGTGTAGTTAGCTCCATAATTGTATCTTCTATAGATATTGTACTAAATCATATTGTTCTGAAACTCAATCTCTAAAATGTTGTACAGAAACATGAAATATGAAAAATTGCTTTGGCAGCATACATGGGTATACTGTTAAATTTACTTATTTGTGTATAGTAGACAGTCATTTTGAAGTGTCTTATTGCCTGGGTTGTTGAGAGAGGGTATTGAGGGCAGCATGTATTTCACAGGAATATAATGATGCTTGTTGACTCAGAATTCACAATTTCATTACATAAAACATTATTCACAACTTCATGTATAGTATCAGAATCATTGTCATTTTTCAGGTTTTATTCTTTTACGATCAGCTCGTGAACTAGGTGTTCATTAGTTGAATTGAATGTCACTGCCTATCAATCTAAATAGCAGCCATAATGTGAAAGACAATAGAGGACATTGCATGACCCACAAATAATGACTGAATGATGCCATGTTGAAAAGAACGCAATACACTATTTAAATCTCAAATCACATGTCCACAGCACTTCAGATGTTTTTCTTTTTATGTCTGTTTTTTTTTTTTTTTCTTTTTTCTTCTTCAAAATTGAAAGATCAAAGTTGTTTTCAGGATGTTTGAATTCTTCCTTTGTGCTTGTTGGAGCTGCTCTCACTTTTCTACCAATTCAAAGGCAAATTGTAGTAAAGTCGATGCTTGCTCGTGAACAAAATAAAGGATGATGAGATGGGATATAAATGTGGTGTGATGTTGTTTTCCTTTCTTCACTGCAGTAGCTTCAGGTAGGACACTGCGTACTGGGAAGGTAGACGCCCTGTTCAATAGAAACTCATAAAACAGAAGCGCCCCCTAGTGACGATAATAGAGCAATTGTGGCTATTTTCACTGCTGAATAAAAATTCTGGTAGAATGTTGACAAAATATATTGGGTGCAAGTTGTAACTGTTATAAAAGGATTTTAGTAATGTATTATTGTATATGGCACTATGGCTCAAAGTTCCATTACAATTTATTAATTCACTCAATATTCAGTGGTGGTACGCTTATGTTGTAGCCACCGCAAGGTTACCAATCTGCACCATGAACCCCTCCGACCTCCATCAACACTCATGCACACGTCATGTTTATGCTACGCAGTGTGCGCATATGTCATCAACAAAGCGGAAAAATATAATCATAAACTATATACAGTTGGAATTTAGTGGGTAATTTTTTTGTTTCTATTTTTATTTACTTGTCAAACTATGTGAAATAGAATGCATATAGTATGCAAAATTGTCTCCTCAAGAAATTGGCAATCACGAACTCAATGTTCTGTTAGATGCAATCAATAAGAAGTTCAGAACCACACATTATTTATTCTATGACAAATACAAACAATAGAAATACTGCATACATAATTACAAAATAATATCCACATTGTGTCAACAAGGTAAACTACATTAATTTACACATCTTTGTATTTGATCTTGTCTGTACCTTAGGACAGCCTACTTCATTCTGAACAGACAATACATTTACAAAAGTTGGTATTTATAAAAGAATACTAGAAAACGTGTTAGCCCCTATAGCCACACCACAAAGTGCACCAGTTATTTACAATAAAGTGTAAATTGGCACATATCATAGTCACATAGAAATTGCTTATGCCTTGGTTTTCACACCAGAGCTTGCTAAGGCCATAATTTTATCCTCAGATCCTGAAATAAAGAAAACTGAATTTAAGTACTCTGCCATCAAGTATACCTTATCATATATTCGATTATATTAAAAATAAATATAGATTAAATAATTTTAATCATGTCAGTCTCACCTAGGTTTGCAGTGATTTTTTCAAACTGGCTCAGACTTGCTGTAGCGTTTTCTGCCAAGAACGACTCATCTTCTGCAGTAAGCTGTCAGAAAATGTTCAGAAAAGTTTAATAATTTGCAATAAAATATATTTTTAAAAATCCATCATGTATGCAATAATTGGTTAGTAAATACAAAAAAAGATAAATTACAAAAATAATAAATATGTTTTCCCAAATATGTTCAGTTCCTAACAAGGCATTGCTGCATATAAGTGCCATTACCATATACCAGTGCTACACAAATAAATGAAAGCAGACAACCTTTTTAAACAGCAACATTGAAACCAATCAAATACTTTAAGTAAACATGTATGAACTAGTCAAAATGACATAAATGACAGATGATTCAAGTAATATTATCTGATGTGGATATTATAAGTGCAACAAGAAATCTACTTGTAGCATGCATTACATCAGCCCAGAGCTGACCAAATGACTGCCATAAATAACAGCTGTTGCATACTCAGCCTCATGAGCCACTGAATCATCCTGAACGTGACAATAACTCTCCACTCAACATGCAAGAGCCTCACCTTCTCGCCAAGTTTTCTCAAGGCAGTGAGGATTTCCATTTTCTGCTGAGTGTAGACATCCCGTGGCAATTTCCCCACCATGACATCTCTGTCCATCTGTGCAGAATGTCACACAACAGTTAGGCACCTCAACAATAGACCAACTGTACTGCAGAAATGGATAGTTAATTTTTTAATAAATCATAAGTCCTGCAAGCCTTTACTTCTTTGGTTTCTTTTTCTTTTTTTCTTTTTTCTTTTTGCTCAACTGGACCATTAAATTATACTTCATTTAACAACCACCTTTTCTCTAAAAATATCATACAATTAGCAATAATAACAATTTCAGTTCTTACTTCTCCCAGCCTGGTCCTCAATTGCCCCGGCTGTTTTTTGGCAAATAAACGAATGACTTCTGGGGTTTTGAATGCTTGGCTGATGGCAGCTTGGATTGCCTGGTGACAACATTTACAGATGGAGAATGTAAACAATGTGTATAATTTCTATCTTTATAAATATGGTACTGTCTTTCATACCAGCTGCATACCACCCAGTTCGTCTACCAGAGTCATGTCCCCGGTCATGATCTTCTTCAGGGAATCATTAAACTCACTGAGCTGTTCCAGTGTCTCCTTTTTTGTCTCTTCATATTCATCTTCATCCAACTCTTCTCTGAAAATCATTCCAGGTTCATTATTTTTGTACGAGGTAGAGTACAGCTTTTGAACAATATATTCTTTTTCGAATGCTTATTTTGTTCTGTGAAGATCTATATTCATGTCGAGAAGGCTATTTCTTTGTGCAGCATTGACTGCAAGTGTGCCAAACGAACCTGCATTCTTCCAAGTCTTGAAGCTGCTGCATCAGTCTGTCAAGCTGCTCCTCCATATTCTGCCTCAATTTACCAGTCTCCGTTTTCCCACGGGATGCCATGGTTATCTGAAACTGTGATCAATAACGAATATAAAAAAGTAAAAATAGTAAAAGTACTAATAAAATGTAAGAAAGGCACATAAAAACAATGAAGAAACTCCAAGCTCCCGATAACATGCACGGGAAATCTGGGGGTAACGTGAAGGTATAAATGGGTTACCCATTATTACCCTGTTGTGTAAATATTATTTTATGTTTATCCTATGTGGAGTTTCTCTATAAGAGCATTATTGATAGTTTTAGCTAGCAGGCTAAAAATGATCCTTCACCTGTTTATAAACTGCGGTCAGAAGGAGAACCCAGACCTGTCAAAAAGAAACAGTTACATTTTCTTCTTCTGCCCAGTAAAATGTGCTTGAGGAGTTTATTATAAAGTATTTTTGTCATTTTAAAGCTTACTTACAGCCTGTGGGTGCGGTTCATTTGTTCCGGGTGTGTTAACCAATCACATTCGCAGCTCTCCTGCTACATTCATGAATGTCGTTCTGTTTGTAATTATTAATACACATCCAAAAGTAGTGTATAAAATTAAATAACGTTAACTATATTTTCAATTCACATCTTATTTCTTGAATAAAAACAAAAAAGATGAGGAAAAGCTTACAATGTCGAGAAAATAGATGTAGGATTGTTCTCAATTGAGGGAGTCTTGTTTAGAACTTTCGAAATCTACCGTTCAGTGAACACCACACCATTGTAGTTCGTAGCCTACCGGAAATCAGTAGCACGCTGTGGGCTAGCTTCTTTCCGACTGGTATCAGTATGATTATTTTACCATTATTGTGCAAGTTATGCAACGTGAGTTCATACAATAAAGTGACAGAGGCTATCAATTTGTCAATGCTGGCCTAAGATCTAAGAGCTAGATAGCTAAACTAAGATACAAATATAGCTAACAGACATATGTGTTAAAGCTAGTGATGGGCAAATGAAGCTTCAAGACGCATTGAAGCCTTTCATCCAATTGGTTCACTCTAGCGCGAAGCTTCTTGAAGCTTCATTTGCTCTAGCAGGACATCTACTGGACACAAAAATATCAGTTGACATGAATTTGAAGTGTGTGACATTTTGCAGAAAGCCTGTGAATAGAACTGTCAGCAAAATAAAGAAGTATGCAAAACATGTATATTGTAGTGATGGCAGTGTACTGTGTATCTATATACTGGCAGTATGTAAAATGATTATTTGAAAATGATGAAAATGGAAATCGCAGCAAAATCCGAACCATTTCCTGAATCAGTCACGTGGTACAGCCGGGCAGTGAGGCTTCGGACGTCATCATTTTCAGCTCCTCCCCTAAATGAATCAAGCCTCGATACGCGCATCGCGGAAACGCCCCCTCCCTACTCGACACACGCTTCGAAGCCTCGACACAGAACGTCACATCACTAGTTAAAGCCATCTTAGTAGTGTTTTTCATTTTACATCTAATTTTGTTTGTGTCCTTTTTGTACTACTGCAGTGAGTGTGGATTCAGCATGAGATATGGATGGGACAGCTGGGACCAGAGTGGTGCTGCTGGCTTGTGGCTCCTTCAACCCAATCACCAACATGCACCTGAGGATGTTTGAACTAGCCCGAGACCATTTGGAAGACTCTGGTACATGCTTATACCAAACAATTATTGTCTTAGATACACAGTTGCACACAAACATCGTGCACTCACTGCAGGGTTTGTTTTATCTTCATAAACATACTATGCTAACTATACTGTCCCCCAAATGTCATTAGTAGCAAACATAATTAATGACTGAAATGTAAAGACAAAGTGACATTGAATAATGGGGTCTTCTTTTCTGTTTGAGTGCATTGTCATATTATTGTTTCAGGTTACCAAGTGGTGAAAGGCATTATCTCTCCAGTTGGTGATGGCTACAAAAAGAAAGGTTTAATTGAGGCCAGACATCGTCTGGAGATGGCCCGACTGGCTTCAGAAAACTCCTGGATTACAGCGGACTCCTGGGAGTGTTTACAGGCAGAATGGTTAGAGACAACTAAAGTTGTTAGGTGAGTTATCAGCTCTCCAATTATGAAACTAAAAGTTATGAAAATGAGTTTCCTAAAAACGTTGTCACAAGGTCAATCAATGAGATAAGTAAGTAAGAAGAAGGCCATACTGGCTTGTTAAAACCTGATCTCGTCAGATCTCAGAAGATAAGCAACGCTGGGTCTGGTTCGTACTTGGAGGGGAGATCACTGGGAATTCCATGTGTTACAGTGGGGTGCCAGTGGTGAAAAACATTCTTTGTGTCCTTAGACAAGGTACTTCACCTACATTCTTCACCTTGTAAGAAAGTGCAGTGTGTAAGGGTGTTGGTGGTGGTCGATGGGGCTGATGGCGCAGATTGGCCGCCTCGCTTCTGTTAGTCTGCCCCAGAGCAGCTGTGGCTACATTAGTAGCTTGCCACCAGTGGAGTGAATGAGCAATGAACTGTAAAGCACTTTGGGTATTAATTAATTTAAAACAGCTTGTGTATTGGGAAGTTACTGAACATTTACAGTAATTAACTTTAACCAATTACCTAAAATGATTAAAAATGTTCTTTTCTTTCTTACTTTAAAACATTTATTACAGTACTTCTTAGCACAACACTATGTGGTTGTCCAGTTGTTAAAGAACATCAAAAAACAACAGACTGACTGCTGCAGCCTGTTTTGTGGCGTTTTTGTTGTGGTTGGTTCCCAGATTTGTGGAATGTTTGGCTTTTACTTTTTCACAAACATTTTATTCTCTTTTACTCTACTAGTATAATACTCAGATGTTAAACTATACTAAGGAAATGGCTTGATACTCAATACCAGTTTTGATGCCACAATGATGGAAAGAAGAACACTTGCTCAAAAGAATGTATTTTTCAGCACAAAATAATAGTGCTTTCTGTTATGTTGAACTTTAGTTTTATATGGGTATTGATAAAGTTCATTAATACTCCAAAACTGTTCAAGTGAGGTCAAATTTTATTTTTGTTCAATATTGGTATGTTGAATTCAGTATCTATTTTCAATACTGGTTTTGGTTTCAATTAGTACTGATGCAGGAACACTGATGCAGGCAAAGTCTCAGTTTTGATCCTGTTAGATCTGAGTGCTGCTTTTGACACTGTCGATCATGGGATCCTCTTACAGACACTAGAGGACTGGGTGGGCATCTCTGGTACTGTACTAAACTGGTTCAAGTCCTATCTAGAAGACAGGAAGTATTTTGTTGAAATTGGAAACTCTGTCTCAGATCACATGGCCCTGACCTGTGGGGTGCCTCAGGGGTCAATCCTGGGCCCCCTGTTGTTCAATCTCTACATGCTGCCATTAGGCCAGTTAATAAGCAGCAATAACGTGTCCTACCACAATTATGCAGATGACGCTCAGATCTACGTCTCTCTGGCAGCAGGAGACTATGGACCAGTGGACTCACTTGGTCACTGCATCCAACAGATCAGTGTGTGGATGCAAAACAACTTTCTCCAGCTAAACTCTGACAAGACTGAAGTCATAGTGTTTGGTCCACAGAAACAAAGGGACAGTGTCAGCAGTCACCTCCAGTCTCTCTCTAAAACCTTCAAATCAGGCAAGAAATCTAGGGGTAATAATGGACTCAGACTTGAACTTTAACAGCCACAAATCAATAACATCTGCAGCCTTTTACCATCTAAAAAACATAGCAAAAATCAAAGGTTTACTGTCTAAAGCAGACTTGGAGAAACTTATCCATGCATTTGTCTCCAATAGATTAGACTACTGTAATGGTCTGCTCACTAATCTCTCCAAACGAGCTGTGTGACAGCTGCAGAACATCCAGAACGCTGCAGCTCGGGTCCTTACTCGATCTAGGAAGTACAAGCACATAAGTCCTGTGCTCAGGTCTCTGCACTGGCTTCCTGTGCCTCAGAGAATAGACTTTAAATCAGCTCTGCTTGTGTACAAGTCTCTCCATGGCCGAGCACCAAAGTACATCTGTGACATGTTGGTGTCATATAAACCATCTCGCACTCTGAGGACCTCAGGGACCGGCCTCTTGCTGGTGCCCAGAGTCAGGACTAAACAAGGGGAGTCAGCGTTTCAGGTTCATGCAGCTAAAACCTGGAACAGTCTTCTTGAACATGTGAGACAGGCCTCTTCTGTGACGCTGTTTAAATCCAGGCTCAAAACATTTCTGTTTAACTGTGCATATAACTGAAAGGTTTTCATCCCGCACTCTTCTCTCCAATTTATGTCTCTCTTTTTTAATTTTAATCTTCATGATTATTTATGTTTTGATTTGTTCTTATTATGATTTTAATGTATTTCTTATTCTATAAAGCACTTTGAATTACTTTGTGTATGAATTGTGCTATACAAATAAACTTGCCTTGCCTAGTTATTTCATTTTTTTTTTTTTTGTCTCTTTTTTTGTCTTTTTAAAATTAGTTTATTTTGTCTTTTTTCATTTTTTTTCCCTGTCAGGCATCACTACAATGAATTACTTGCTCAAGAGCAGAACAATGACGATGTGGACACTGTCAAATATGGAAAAAAGAGACGCATCGAGGACAACCATTATGTGGCTTCATCAGCTCCTCAAAACAGAGGTAAGTTTTGTATTACATAATGTGACATCTCCACCCTTTTGCATAAACAGCAACATGTCTGCTCTGGCTGTGTCTATTGCTTCATTGTATTAAGGCTAGGCTTTTCGCATACACCAGTGCAGGTCTATGCAGGGTGTGTACCATGACACCTTCACTGTTTGCGAATCTGAAGAACATAAAAATGGCTTATTCAGTAGTAGTAAATTAAATAGTCATAAAATAACAATTCCTGCTTCCTATTGTAAATTAATAATGAAGCCTCTAGCTTATGGGCTACTTCAAATCTAAATATCTGCTTTTCCTTGTTTCAAGCATTTTATACTTCAAATATTACTTGTTCCCTATCAATTAATACATTATTGAAATGTTTACATTATTAAAAAGGTGGATGTTTAAGCTACCATAAATTTGAATTCAACTTCACAATTTCTTATAATGTTAGAACAATATGCGATGGTGACAATTACACTATTACACTATTAAGGAAACTGCTCTCTATGTTTATTCTTTCTTTCTTGCACATAGATGGCACTCGTCTGATGCTGTTGTGGTGCTGACGTCCTCGAATCTTTTGGTGTTCCCAATTTGTGGAAGCAGGAGGACATTGAGGAAATTGTTGGCCGCTTTGGTTTAGTTTGCATTACGCGTAGTGGTAATGAACCTCTTAAATTCATCCATCAGTCGGACACACTGTGGAAGCACCGTAAAAACATTCATATTGTTCAGGAGTGGGTTACAAATGAGATCTCGGCCACTCATGTCCGCCGAGCCATTCGCCGCGGTTGCAGTGTCAGATACCTGCTGCCCGACAGCGTGCTCAACTACATACGTGAACACAAGCTCTACACTGAAGAGAGCGAGCAGAAAAACATCGGGGTGGTCCTTGCACCTCTCCAGAGATACACTGGTGCCTCTTCAAGCTAAACACTACCTTAAAAGAACGGCAACAAACAGTTTAGGTGCTATACAACATTTGTCTAGTCTTCCAATTATAATGCATTCATACAAGACTTGTAAGAGGCGAACACAAACAACGCTGTTATATTTATTGTGATTTATGCCATAAAAGTAGGTAAATTATTGAATATTTGCCTCAGTTTTATTTTGTTTCAATTTTCTTCCTAGTAGACACATCAATCTTACAGAAGCCCTTTTGTAATATGTATGTATATGACTAGAGCTTATTTGTTTCATTTATAAGATGCTAAATAAATGTAACTGAAATGATAGAGATTATGTATTATACAATGGGATAACAATTTACAGTACTGCAAAGACAGCCTTTCCGGATCTAGCCAAAAAAAAATTTCATCAGTAACTTCAATAAACTTCCCTTTTGTTTTACACTAATGTGCTTTCGTTTCCATTTCCTCCTTGTTAACATACAGAGACAATGACAACAACAACTCTCTGACTGATTAGAATGGCTCTTATTAAAGTAATGATTCTCTTAGTTAGTTTTGATTGAGAGTAACTAAAGTGTCTGGAACTGAAACAACTGTATTTATTACTTGCATGTTATTTATAGCTCAACAGATTAATCCACATTTTTTAGGTTGGGTGGAACACTGGAGGATGATTAATTCTAATTGAGCTGTCAGGTATGTTTAAATCTAAGCCTGTGAACTTTAACTGCCACAAAATAACAGCTGAATCAAAGGTTGTGACCGGTTAACTAATTTGCAAGAAGTAGGATATGCAAAACTAACTCAGTGTTGATCACCTATCTGTCTGTCTATCTGTCAGCTTATAAAATAAACAAAGGAAATATGCTATTTTTAGTCTTATCACATGACGTGAGGTTAGATGATTTACTGTCACTGACAGATGTGTATTCTGAATATTTCTGTCTGCTCAAGTGCCTGGGGCAAATTTACAGGCTGTTTACCTGAGAACAGTTTGACCCGCCCAGCTTCAGTCCCGAACTTGACCTGGTTAAGCCCCTCCCTGTTCATAAGATGCTCAGGTGTTGGCGAATGGGGTGAGAGCTCACCTGTCCTTATAGCTGTCCCGTGGTCTGCTTTCCCACAGCTTCCTCTGATCAGTGCTGGAGACTGACAGCTACATCTTGGGCAAATAACTGAGGTTTTCAGTAGGATCTAATAGGAAGTCAAGATGCCCACCAGTTTCTGTGGAACATGGGACATGGTCAGCAATGTCAACTTTGAGGGCTACATGATGGCACTGGGTAAGTTTAGAGCAAATTTGAGTTTCAATTTGAATAATATGTGATTTATAGATATAGAAATCAGACCAGTGCAAAAACAAATACAAATAAATTACTTATTATTCTTTTATCTCTTTAGTTTGCTTAAAATTTGAAGTAACTTTATTTTTAACTGATTGTACAGATACATTTTGAGTACTTCTTCTAATGCACTCTGCTTAGATATGTGTGATGGTTCAGAATGTAGGTAAATAATGTTGTGAACCACTTAAATTACTTGAAACTTACTTAAATGTTGAAATAAATTGCTGCAACATAGCTGAAGAGTAGTTTTGTAAGTTCTGGTATGCGTGGGTATGATTGACATGTTTGTAGCCTCAGATTGACAGCAGCAGTCTTTGTACACTGTGTTCAAGGAAGCTTGTTTTTTTTTTTTTCTTTAGGTATTAGTGCGTATCTCAGAAAGATTGCTCTGAAGCTGAAGCTGAAGAAGGTGATTGAGCAACAAGGAGATCAGTACATCATCAAAACTCTCAGCACCTTGAGAAACTACATTATTGTCTTCAGAGTGGGAGAGGAGTTTGCAGAATTTACCCAGGGACTTGACAACAGACATGTAAAGGTGTGAATATTATGTGATGTGTAATTTCATTTTTAATTTTATTTGTAACTAAGAATGTATC